GGATCACCATGGCAACAGTAACCTTTGGATTTCCGCAACACAATGAAATGCATCCGTTGCCCTGGAGCCCTCCTCCCCACACCTGCCCCAGACCAGGACCTGGGCCAGTAGCTCTCTGTACCTGAGAGCAAATGGGGGCTCCCCTGTTGTTACCACAGCCTCCCGATCCAACCAGTTAAAGACCGAAGCTTGTGAGGGGAACTCGCTTAGCAACAAAGCTTGGACACTGCGCATGCGCTCTAGCTTAGCACAAAGGGCGTGAGTTCAGAAGGCGGAGCGACGCTCAGTCTGATGGAAGTTGTAGTTTCCTACGTTCTACAGCGGATGACCAATGGGTGAATTGGATGGGGACAAGGTTTCTGAAGCTGGGATCTAAAGGATAAGCAGTATTGTCGCCACAGGAACGATACAGCGTCGTTCCTCCCAGCCGGTCGGCCATTTCCTTTTCATCTTTCTAACTCACAGCTTGCTTTATGCCAGAAATCCCGTGTACAACGGAGAACTAATTAATTTTTTTTTTTCTTACTGGAAAAGTGGGGAGTGTTGGTTATAGAAGGATAATAACTTCATAGGTCACTAATCGAAAACAGTATGCTAATGGATAAATAGGGCACTTTGAGTAAAGAAATGCAGGCATGTTAGACTCTGTACACACACTCCCTACAGAACCTTATGAAGTAAGTACTGTTATCCCCAAACTGCAACATAAAGGAGCCAGGGAGATGGCTCAGCAAGTGAGAGTGTTTGTATTTACCCTTACCACCAGGGTTGAATCCCCTGGAAGCAAGGACCTACTCTTGCAAGTCATCCTTTGTCTTCCACACATATGCTGTGGCATAGGTACCCACACATACATGCAAAGTTAATTAGTAAACAAACAAACTAATTAGGGCATGTAACATAAAGAGGCTAACCAACTGAAAGCTACATCCACCGAGTAATGGGCGTAAGACCAGACAATGTTTTCGTACTGATAAACATGTGATAGACTTCTAGATGATGGTGTGTGTCTATGAGGAATGAGGTGGAGAAATCTGGAGTATGAGGAGAGATGACTTCAGGGCAACTACTCAGGGATGGTCTTCAGCAGGAGATGAATTTTGCACTGGCCCAAAGAAATGGATTTTACTCATGAGTTGGGCACCGGTAGCATACCCCAAGAGTCACAGTCTTGGTTTGCTTTTTGTTGCCGTGATAAACACCACAGCCAAAAGCAACTTTGGGAAGGGATGAAAGGGTTTATTTGGGTTACTGGTAACTGGTTCTTCACCAAGGAAAGACAATGCAGGAATGATGCTTTATTGGCTTGCCTCATTTACATTATTATTATCATTTTTCCTGTTTTCTTTTCTGTGACAGGGTTTCTCTGTGTAGCCCTGGCTGTCCTGGCACTTGATCTACAGACTAGGCTGGCCTCCAACTCACAGAGATCCACCTGCTTCTGCCTCCCGAGTACTGGGATTAAAGGTGTGTGCCACCATTCCTGGCTTAGTTACCTTTTATAAACAACTTAGGCACACTTGCCTGAAGATGGCACCATGTACAGTGGGCAGAGCCCTTCTACATCAGTTAGCAACTAAGAAAGATGATCCATAGACTTGTCCACAAGGTAACCCGATGGAGGCTATCTTAGTTTGCTTTCTGTTTCAGTAACAAGACACCATGACTGAAAGCAGCTTGGGTTTATTTGGCTTACATATCCCAGGTCCATTGAGGAAAGCTAAGACAGGAACTCAAGAGAACCTGGAGACAGGGACGGAAGCAGACGTCATGGAGGAACCCTGTGTACTGGTTTGCTCCCCATGGCGTGCTCAGTTTTCTTGTACCACGCAGGATCATCTACCAAGGAGTGGCACCGCCCACACAAGACTAGGCCTTCCTCTGTCAATTAGCAATCGAGAAAATGTCCCATAGACACGCACACACACAGTCTCATAGAAGAATATTTTCAACTGACTTCCCTTTTCCCATTTGACTCTGGTTTGTGTCAAGCTGACAAAACAAAAACAAAACCTCACCAGGACAGGGGCAATTTCTTAGCTGAGATTCCCTCTTCTCAGGTACAGTTAAGATTTGCCAAAAGCTATGAGGGTAACTCATTTTGACTTTTTCTTTTGCCTTCCCTAAGGACAAAATCACTTTATATATACTGTTCCTTGGCTTAAACTATACTTCAGTTTTTTGTTTTTAGCATACATTTCCTCCAAGGTGAAGAGAGATGAACTATATCCATTTCACTAAATCTCTTTCTATGCTCTGTTTCTGTTTTAAAATTTTAATTTTTCTCTGGTGTGTGTGTGTGTGTGTGTGTGTGTGTGTGTGTGTGTGTGTGTCCCCATGAAGGCCAGAAAAGGGCATCAGATTTCTTGAAGCTGGAGTTACGGATGGTTGTTAGCCACTCCATGTTGTAATAGGGATTGGGCTTAGGCGCTCCTAACCACCAAGCCACCCCCACCCCTATTTCTAATGTGCTTCTATTTCAATGCTGTTTTGTAGATTGTAGGAAGGAAGGGTATAGACAATCCTCTTGGGTGATTCAAGATACTTTGTATCATCACCACTTGGTCCCAAATAACCAATTCAGAGACTGAATATGAACTATAAATGCTCAGCCGATAGCTCAGGCTTGTTACTAGCTAACTCTTACATTTAAACTAACCCATTTCTAATAATCGGTGTATTGCCACATGGCTTGTGCCTTTCCCTGTCTTCTAGCATATTTTGCTTCCTGGGTGGCTGGCTGGCATCTCTCCGGACTCTGCCCTCTTCCTTCCCATCATTATCAGTCTGGCTTTCCCACCTAAATTCCTGCCCAGCGACTAGCCTGTCAGCTTTTTAAGACAGGGCTTCTCTGTAGCTTTGGAGGCTGTCATGGAACTGTCCTCGTCCAGGCTGGCCTTGAACTCACAGAGACCCACCTGCCTCTGCCTCCCACGTGCTAGGGTTAAAGGCAGGTGCCATCACTGCCCTGCCTCTGTCAGCTTTTTGTTAACCAATGAGAGTAATACGTATTCATAGTGTAGAAAAGGGTTGTTCCACAGCATTTCCCCTTTTGTCTAATTAAAAGGGGAGGTTTTCATCTTAATATAGTAAAACTATATACAACAAAACAGTTATTAAGAGTTATAGTAATAATATCCAATCCATTTGTACTTGACAAAATTAGAAAAAATTACTATGTATCTTATCTCGGCGAGTCTAAAGTTTTGTATCTAATTTACTTTCTATTATAACTAAGAAAAAAACTATAATTTTAACTATTTAGTCTTCAATTCCACCAAAGACCCCAGAAGGGTGAAATGTTACCTAATGACAAGGACATCAGGCTACCTGGACAGTCACCCAAAGTTCCTTTGTAATGTTAGGGCAGCCAAATTTGGCCTACAGGCCTAGCATATCTGATAGACTTTCCTGTGAAGCAGGGAATTTTGAAGGACCGTGTCCTACCTTGTCTTGGCAAAGTTTGGCAGTTGCCTTTCTTGTGCCCTGCTGGTCCAATTTGGATATTAACTGTTAGCAATTGAGGCAAGGGCAGTTTCTTTGCTCACATGGCTAGCATTTTCCATAGAGAAAACAAATTCCGTATGGAGTTTCTTCGGTACACATCAGATTCTTTGAAGTAATTGGTGCTGCCAGGAGCAGATGTGTCTCACTGTTAAGAAAAGTGTAAGTTCTTAAAATATTTTAAATGCCATATTCTGTAGGTCTTTGAAGTGTTTGAAGATTGCCTATCTGAAGTAGATCTTTGTATGACTTTGAAAACCTAAAAGGACTATCAGTTTATTATTGTAAATTAATCTGTATTTCTTAATCATGTATTTTTAAATGAGCTGCATAAACATAATATCCTAAACAAGAACAGAAATCTACCTACATTATAACAAAATTAACTTTAAATTTGTTTCAATAAACCCAAATCCATACCAATGTAAAATATGTAAGATTAATAGGTTTTTTTTTTTTTTTTTTTGGATTAAAGTAGACTCATCAATCTACCCTTTTATTTTATCATTTCTATACCCCCCTTTTTAATTCCAGGATAAGATCCCTGAATCTAATCTCCTTTGTTTAGCTTTTGATTACCTGTCTGAACCACTGAGTTGTCTTTTACCTTAGAATTCTTTCATTGCTGTGGTAAGTGTTCCTTGTGGTCCATCAGTAACAGAATCAGCATCTTTCTCAAAGCTCTTACCCTTCCCTGTCCTTCCAAATCCAACTCTGTGTCTCAACAAGTTTCCCTTTTCATGTCTACATGGAAGTCTGAGCAGGTGGATTTTGTAGCCTACTGTTGACTTAGGTGCCTTGTATTAGTTGTGCACACAGAACCCCAAAGTCAAGCTAGTCGTCATTATCAATGTCCTTTACTTCAGAAGCACCACACTTGAACAAACCCTAGGACCTGCATCCAGAGTCCATCAAGAATCTAGATATTAATGATTTATTCTCTCACCTCTCCCCAGTGTGTGTGTGTGTGTGTGTGTGTGTGTGTGTGTGTGAATGTATGCATGTGGAGGTGAGAACAAATTTTAGGAGCAACCTTTTTAAAATATAATTTTATTTTTTAAAAATTTTAACCTGCTGAGCCATCTCTTTGGCGTAAGATGTTCATCTCCAGGTTCTCTACTACTCCTTACTATGGGCTTTATCTCCACACTGGCCTGAGGTGATTGGTGGTGAGTAGGCCTAGGATCCTCTCATTTTGGAACATTTTAAGAGTAAGACAATCTTTTCTAGAAGTCCTGCCTCTACTTGAGAAGACTTTGTTGGCCAAAAGCCATTCTCAAACTAATCACCCAGAGGACTTGGGCATGGTTAAGTGTCTGGAAATTGCTATGTTTGTGAAATGGTTCAGAAGAGAGCGGATGAGTCATTAGCTGTCCTAGCAATGGAGTGTGAACCCTCCATTCATCCTAGAAGAATTTCATTGGTGAAATTTCCTCAGGATCCGTCTCCCCTGTCCACCCTGCTTCCCCAAGAAGCCACCAACTCAGCCTGGAGACCAAAATAATGCTGTTTATTTCAATCTCAAAGCACAGTCGTTCAATTAGTTCCCTTCCCTCTGAGGCAGTCTTTAGGTTATACCAGTAGATCTTCAGAGCCATTTCCCCTGCCCCACCCTGAGAAACAGCCAAGTCCCTAGGTCATCCTATCCTCTTTTCTTTTCCTATGCTTTGTCATGTCCTTTCAAAATTGTCTCCTCCCGTTACCACCCTCTCTTCTCCAGCACTCCACTTCCCCAGTCCTATCTCTGGCCCTCCCTCCTCCTATCTTTTCTCCCCGTCTCTTAGTCTTGTTCATTCTCCCTGGATTCTCCCGTTTCGATCGTGTAGCCCCCAGGGTCCTCAGTCTTTACTTCCTTTAGTGTCCCTGTACCTTGGCTTCTGCTCACGACCTCCACTGAGAATACCCCTGCCCTGGCTCTGTCCTTTTCCTGTCTACGCCTCTCCTTATGCATTTCTTCTCCAGAGCAACATCCTTTCAATGTGCCCCGGCCGGCCGTTAGCACTCCCCACAGGTGTGGCTCCAGGATCTCAAGAGACCATGGCCAGCATCCCCTAGGATGTAGAGGAAGAGGGCCAAGAGGAGGTCCTTTGATGACTCAGGTGATTAGAAGGGCTGGGATGGCCCATTGGGCGTGAGCCCTGTTATCTTTGGGATCAAAGAATATGTTTCTGCCCTCCACGTGGAGGGTAGCAGACAGAGGTGCACAGGGTCAGGGTTCCTGGGATCTCCCCCAGCAATCTCTGAGTAGGTCCATGTGGAACAAGGCTGCCCCTGTGAGGAGACGTGCAGCAAAGAGGTGTCTGCAGGGCAGGCGCCTGGCAGCATGGATCGAGCAGCTGCAGTGTGTCAGGGCCCCATCCAGGAAGAAGTCTGAGGTGCCATCCTTAAGGGCAAAGCCGGCTCCAGTCCAGTGGAAACCTCGGGTCCCGTGCTGCCTGGCGAAAGCCAGCTCCTCGGCCACTAGGTCTGCCAGCTCTGGCCCACAGGCTGCTCGGAACTTGGCTAGTGGCTCGCAGTCCACCCCCTCGTCTCTGCAGGGGCGGCAAGGCTTCTTCGGTTCCCCTGGGCCTTCTCCACCTCTTCCTTTTACTATCTCCCCTGTGGCCAGGGACTCGACCCTTGCCACTGCCCATTCTGGGTTGCCTTCCAACACAGTCTTCACAGGAGCGGTGCATGGTACACCATTCCTCAGCCCTGGGCCCCCAAATTCCATCTGCTGTCCTCCATTCTTGGAACCGATAGTTTGGGGTTCCCCTTCGTCTCCATTTGCTATGCCTGTAGCTCTTGCATCCTCCAAATGAACAACAACGATGTCCTCGAGGCCCCGTCTCCTTTTGACTGGAAACCTCCCATCTCTCTCCTCTGCAATCTCTGACCCTTTTTGCCCCTCACCGACCCACTGAGATCCCCTCTGATCTCCATTCTCGGGGACCAACTCTAAGGGCTTTTCCACATGGACCTCCCTCCACTTCCTAATGTCTAACCCCTTCTCCATCTCAAACTGAGGCCCTTTCCAATCTCGAGGTTTCGGCAGATGTGCCGGCTCCTCTTGCAATCTGACAGCCCTCCAGGGACTTCCTTCAAGACCTTTGGTCTTCTCAGACTCAACATGGGTGCCTTTCCGGTCTGTGGGCCCCGGCACCCTAGCCCTTCCATCCCCCAGTTCGGTTCCCCTCCAGTCTCTGACCTCTGGCCCTCTCAAGCGCTCTTTTTCCAGCGGGGCTCCTGTCCCTTCACGTCCCTTCACCTTCTGACTCTCTGACCAGACTCCTTGCCCATCTCTCAACTGTAGTCCCTTCCCCTTCTCACTTTCTCGCTCAGGCCTTCCCCAGTTGCTGGCCTCTGAACCCCTCACCTTCTCTTTCTCCATCTGTGCCCTATTCCTGGGCTCGCTCTCCAGTAACACTCTGTCACCGTGAGCACCCTCGGAGGCTGCCTCTCCAGTCGCATCAGCCCACTGCATGGCTACGAGGTCGCGAAGGCACTGAGCCACACTGTGTGAGGGGTTGAGGCGGCGCAGAAGTCGCCTTCGATGACCACGCACTAGAGCACAGGCATCCAGGTCACGGGTTGCTTCGTAGGCACGGAAACGTACCCACATGTCGTGGCGGGGTGCCCAGTTATGCTCAAAGTATCTGATGAAGGCAGTTGGAGCCTGGGAACGCAGCTCAGCCAGCGCCTCGCTATAAGCTGTATAGGACTTTGAATCGGCTAGGCGGCAGAGGAGTGGCCACAGGTCTGGATCCTCCTGGCTGGCACCGCCCAACTCCTGTGCCTTACTGAAGAGCGTCTCCAGACCCTGAGCTCGACAGATCTGCACGCGCGCACACGGCAACAGCTGGCGAACTGCACGCAGCTGCCCGGCCACCTCCGGTCCAGCTGTGAGGCAGCGTACACGGCCTTTCACGTCTGGAGCACTTTGCAGCAGAGAGACCAGCATGAACCTCAGCAGGCTGGGTGTGCCGGGGCGCGCTACGCAACAGGCAGTCTGGCGCGCACGGCCCGCGCTATCCACACACAGCACTGCCATCAGATCCAGCGCACCCTGCAGCCCGGGCAGCCGGTCCACTAACAGGATGCGCGGGAAGCGCCGCAGCAGAGCCCTGGTGCGTGACGTCAGGAGGAACACTGTCTCCACCATCGCTTGGTCCTCTACGAACACGAGCTTCACCTGTGGGCGCGGGCAGGGAGGCAAGGAAAGAGGTCAGGGCACACTGTGTGTGTGTGTGCGCGCGTGTGTGTTAGCGCACGTGCGTCCTGCCCAATTCCCAGGGCACATGCTTCCTCTGCAGAAATGCAAATCCATTCGTTCCTGTATTTGCACAGAAATCTTTTCATTGGTAAGAGGCAGCGTAATAAAATCAAACTCCAGTGCTCTTATAAAGTAGTAGTTCTCCAGCGTTTGAGATCAGGACACTCTAATGGGTGATTTGACAATGCCGGGATATTTGCCTGTGATGAGCCCCTGTGACAGTCTTCCCGGGTGTTACTCCTTCCTCCACCCAGGAGCAGTCTAAGCAAGGGCCTTTACTACTGGCAACAGGAGCTCCAAAAGGCAAGCCGCAATCTGGACTCGCCCTGTCTCTGCCTGAGCTGAGGCTTTGAAAGTGCTTAGGCATGCCTCCCAGCGGGTCACCACAGCCTTGGTTTGAGGGCCCCTGGTAAGCAGCAGATTGTGGAAGCAGACTAAATGGTGATTTGACCTCCCTGCCCACATCATCGGCCTGATTTTACCACCCTGCCTCAGTTTCCTCTTTAACCTCCCTTCCTGCTGGGTTCCTCTTGTAGGAACAGTTTATTCCTGCATGCCCTGAACGAGGGAACAGCAGTTAAAAAAATAAAGCCTAGCTGAACACAGCAAGGTTTTCCGCTTCAGTATGAGATTCTGTCTCAAGGCAACACAACAGAGATAGAAGACAGATGGCGCCCTGCTCTGGCTTCTGCTCGGGCATGTACACCCTAATACTCAGGAACATGCAACACACATAGGCATAGCCACACAGGCACGCGCGCGCGCGCGTACACACACACCACACACACACACCACACCACACACACACAGACACACACACACACACACACAGAGAGACAGATGTCTTACTAAATAATAGGTTTGGCAGAATTCAAAGAGAAGAAAGGCATTGCTTTCCTAACCCTAAAATCAGACATGTAGTAGTACCCCAAAGGGTACTGAGATTCAAAACATACATACATAACACACACACACACACACACACACACACACACACACACACACACACACTGTTTTTGTTTTTCCCAAGACACGGTTGCTCTGTGTAGCCCTGGCTGTATTTGAACTTGTTCTGTAGATCAGTTTGGCCTTGAACTCACAGAGATTCCCCTGCCTCATGCCTGGTGAGATCCAATATATTTTAAGAAAAAAAAAAATACAGTAACTTTGTCATTGACTCAGTTATAGTTCTACTACAATATTTTCTGATATTATTACTTAAAATTATTTTATGTGTATGTTTTTATTTTTCTTATGCCATGTATGGCTGTGAATCATGTGTGTGTCTGGTGCCCTTGGAGGCCAGACGAGTGTGTTGGATCCTCTGGGAACTGTAGTTACAGTTGTAAGCCTCCTGGTGGGTGCTGGAAATTGAATTGGGTCCTCTGGAAGAGCAGCCAGTGCTTTTAACCACTGACCCATCCCTCCAGCTTTCCTCATTTTACACTGTCATTTGAATTTACTTAAAATAGGTTCAACTATGAGCATAAAACACTTTCTGTGTTTTGTGACTCCTAGTGAATCACTGATCCCCAGAGTGGCCACAAAGCTCTCTGGCAGCATCAGGGGAGTGATTTGCTCAAGTCTTGAGGCTAGCAAGTGGTGGATCTAGGAGTTAGGTTCAGGCCTTTAGGAGTGGCAGGGTGTATGGGCATGTGGGAGAGGCAGGGTTGGAAAGAGATGTGTGGGTGACGCTTAACAGACGTGCTGACATTTGATGAAGGTGGGGCTCTATACTGTAAACACGTTTTCTTCCAAACAGTTACAGAGCAAGCATGATGTGCAGAGTACTGCTCTCTGCACAGAAGGGCGTGAATAAGGTGCAACCCTGAGTGTGTGTGTGGACAGGGAGCAAACCAAAGAGAATACAGCTTAAGTCTAGGCGAACAAAGTGCTTAGGGACATTAGTCATGCATGAAGCAGCTTCTCTACTAGGCATTCCTCCAAACCATTTAATAACCCCACAACATGTGCACTGTAATTACCTACTCCTTCACTGAGAAGAGAAACCAAGACACAGAGAGGCCAGTTGCTTGCCTGGGTCATCCAGATGGTAACTGGCAGAGTAAGGATTTGAGTCCATGTGGCGTGGGCACAGGGCCAGGCTCCCAGGATCTGGCTTTGTGCACGCTGGCGCACCTCCAGAGATGGGAAAGCTTAAGGGGGCACCGTCTTAGGTGTGTGCAGGCAGTGAGCAGAGGCTAGAAATGCTAATGGAGAGACCATCACTCCCACTCATGCCTCCCTATATAAGCACACCTTTGTCATTTCGTAGGACCAGAGTGATGTTGCTTTCCACTTTGTCCTGAAGGGGGAAAGTGAGGGAGTGACAACAGCTAAGCAGTTAAAATATAAAGGTCCTTTCACTTTCTGGATTCTCTCTCTCTTTTTCTGTCCCTATTCCACTATTGTGGAACCCTGTCATTGAGATCTAGGTAATACATGCTAGTGCAGCTGTACACATACATACATACATACACACACACACACACACACACACACACACATCTACCTTTGTCTGAGACCTGCACACTATTGGGCCCAATGAAGCTCCAGCATGATGGTAGGCAATGACTCAAGAAAACTAGCCCCTCCCCAAAGATACATAGATTGTTACTGGTTGCTATGAGATACTCCTCCCACCCCCAGTAATTTAGCTCCTTGTAAACTATCCGTGGTCCTGTGACCCTAAATAAACTCACCAGTTTTCCAGGCTAGACTTAGGTGGTATTGCTTCTTGGGTATGATGTTGGTGCCCTGACTGAGGTGAATAGACATTGTTTATCTCCCAAGAAAAAGTTCCTACATTGCGTGACACACACCTTAATCCTCACCTGAGAACCCTATAAAACGATGTCTTTGTCATTATCACCTTTATTTATAGATGGACAAACTGGAACTCCAAGAACCTAAGTTACTCATTGATAATGCATTCACTATCCCACAGCTAGTAAACAGCACAGTCATAAGGCATGGGAAGCTTCCAGAACGTATCAAGAACAATAAATCACATTGCCAGCTTTGACTGTATCCCCTCAAAATGGCTGATGTGATGAAAAAATTGTCAAAACTTAGGGAAGGTCATGATGACACAGCCCTGGTATTTGTCTTTTGCAGAATGTACTGGTTATTTTTCTCGTCACTGTGACCAAATATCTGCTAATAACTGAGGCAAGGAAGAGTTTATTTTGGTTTACAGTTTGAGGGTCTACCGTCCTTCACGGCAGGGGTAGGGGATGGAGGAGTGTGAAGTGGATGGTCACCTGTGCCTGCAGCCAGGAAGCAGAGCTCCAACAGGAAGCTGGGCCAAGCCATAAAGACTCGACTCTCCCTCAATGTCCCTTCAGCAATGCTCCAGCTCACTGATGCTCTGCACCCTTCCAAAAACTGTGTCACAAACCAGAGACCATGTGTCCCATCCAGCACATGAGCCTGTGGGAGACATTCCACACTCAAACCAAGTCAAGTGATTCCAGTTTTCTCTATCCTGGGACCGAGCTTTTGTGCTTCATGTGCTTTGCAGGCGAGCAGCACCTGGCTTGCTTCGGTCAATGAAATACAAAGAGAAGGGCCAGGCAGTGAGCTTCCTAAGACAATCTCTGCTATGTCTACTGCCAGTTTCCTGCAGTGGTGTAGGTGTTAAAGGCTTGTTCTCCTCGGTCTTACGGGAGGTCTTTCATTCCTTGGGGTATGCATCTGAAAGACTGTGACCTTGGTCTGTCCTCGAAGCTTCCCTATTCCAGTCTTTCCAGGGCCTTGAGCTGTTTGCTCTGCCATGTGCTCCCCGCATGTCGTGCCACCATGCCAGAGGCCCAAGCAATGAGGCTGCTGATTCTTTTTGTTTGCTTGTTTGTTTGTTTTATTTTTTGAGACAGGGTTTCCCTGTGTAACAGCCCTGGCTGTCCTGGAACTAGCTCTGTAGTCCAGGCTGGCCTCAAACTTACAGAGATCTGTCTGCCTCTGCCTCTTGAGTGCTGATATTAATGGCATGCCCCCTCCCACCCACAGCGAGGCTGCTGATTCTTTACCTGGTGTGAATTAAATGAACCTCTTTACTTTGTAAGTTCATAGATTTGGGCATTTTGGTACAGTGATGTAAAGCCAATGCTCCCCTGGAAAACTTGCAAAGTGAAAGGAAAACACGAATGCTGCTTATCTAGTTTTGGGATGATGACAAAGAACTTCTTTTCAGAATACTGATACACTTTATAATATACAACTCTCTCAAAGAACTCATAAGTGAAAGAAACTGGGTGAAATTATGCAAGGGGATGGACTGAGCACCCCACTATCTCCTCAACCTTCAAAATGATGATAGGCGCAACACTTACCTTGGAAACTAGAAAGCAGGCGAGGAAATGGATTGTCATTCCACCTGAAGCACTATGAGCCCTAAGTGGGCAGACAGGAAATACTAAAACCAATAGTGGAGTCCCCCACCAGGATCAGGCAATACAGGACATTCCCTTAAGACCAGGTGAGGGCTGTTGGAAATCCTGTGTTTCTTCTCTGCCTCCAGGCTGTCTTTTAAGTAACTGGAGGTTTATTCTATAGACAGGATAAATGGGAAAGGTTGCTGGCCCTGGGGACAGCAGGAGGGAGATTCCAAGTTCCATGCATCATGCTGGCTGCCAGCTCCAGCCTCTTCCTCACATGGTTGCTAGACTCTGGCAGCCTGGCCTTCACCCCCAGCCAGGAGGTGGGAAGACTTTTCTCAGGGGCCCTGACCAAACCCCGGAGAAAGAAGGAAAGATGTTGGCATTCTTCAGCATGCAAGGCAAGACAAACTATTTGTGTGCTGAGGCATAGTAGCATACTACTGTATTCCCAGCAGTAGTTCAAGGTCATAATTAGGTGCACAGCCAGTTCCAGGCCAGCCTGGGCTACCATGAGCCCTTGCCTCAAATAAACAACCAGAAAAAAAGATGCAAATATGTAGAATACACAGCATTATTGAGTGGAATATGTTTCTGTATGTGTGTGTGTGTGTGTATGTGCATGTGGACTAAGATTAATGGAGTTTTAATCAGCCATAAAGAAGAACAATATTAGGTCATTTGTCAATTACAGGGTCATGGATGGCCCTGTCGATCATACTAAGCAAGTCACACTGAAACAGAAAAATAATGCATTTTTCTCTCAGATGTACAACCAGAAAATATATAATGAAAATCAAAGAGGGTTATTAGGAAAGAGGATGGGGAGTGTAACAGTTTGAGGAAGGGAGAGGCTGATGTAGGGTTGGTGATTAAGGTCCAAACATAGTTCATGTGAATGGATATCTTATGAACTCATAGCTTTGTACACTGGATATGTGCTTATACATACATACATACATACATACATGTGTGCATGTGCGTGTGTGTGTGCGTGTATTAATATAGAAATGTAAACTTACCTGCACATGTACATCTCTGTGATGTAAAAGCCACACTAATGAAGATGTCTGTTTAAGTTCAATTACTTAAAAACTCCAGTTCTGTGCTGGGGAAATGTCAGAGTTGGTAAAGTGCCTGCCACTCAGGTACAGGGACCTAATTTCAGATGCCTAGAACCCACATAAAAAACCAGCATGGATGGGGGCAGAGGCAGGTAGATCCCTGAAGCTCATTGGCCAGGCAGCCAGCCTAGTCAATTTACTGAGCTTCAGCTTCAGTGATAGAGATGGAGAGGCCAGCAAGGTGGCTCAGCAGGTCAAAGGGCTCACAACAAAGTCTGAGCACCAGAGTTTGATGCCCAGGACCTATACAGTAGATGTAAAGAACTGATTCCTGAAAATGTTTCTTTGACCTCTGCATGCAAGCTGTGGCATGGGTACACCTGCATACCTACCCCCACAAAAAATAAATATAATACATTTAAAAAATGGAGAGTAATCAAGGTCAACCTCAGTCACATGTATGCACCCCTCTCCCCAGCCAAGCAACAGCAATATAAAACAAACAAACCAAAACCAACCAGACAGCCAAAAAAACAAAACAACAAAAAACAAACAATAACAAAAAAAAAAAAAAAAAAAACCCAGCTCCTTAATCACGTTAGAGTCATTTCAAATGATCAAGAGCATATGAGGGCAATGGCTATTATACTGGGTAGCAGAAATAAAATTCATTACTGAAAGTTGGGGCTGGAGATGCAGCCCAGAGGTGGAATGCTTGTCCAGAATCCCCCACTGAGGGTTTGGAGGTGTAGCTCAGTGGTAGCTCTACCACTAGAATTCTCCAGTAAGAGGCTGGAGGTATTGTTCAGTGGTAGAACGCTTGCCCAGCATGCGATAGGCCTTGAGTTCTACCCCCAGGAGCACAAAAATAAGCAACAGATAGTCAACAGCACTTTGCAATCTTTCTGTACAACCCCAGCTTCTGTTTTACAATGCTTTTCACTCTACTGCATTATATAACACAGCTTCCTGGGTGTCGAGTTCAGAGGCATAATCCTTGGGTATAGTCATTAAACAGTGGACTTATTTATGCACTTTCTGTTTACATAGTCCACGCTGAAAAAAAACTAGATTGTCCTTCTCTCTCTTGGATCCTCTTTTTCCTAGCATGAAACTGATAATCCTATCTGGGTGCTTTTGTTTCTGTCACTAGAACTTCTGCAAGGCAGCCAACGGCCGCACATGCTTATTTAAGTTTCAATCAATTAAAATGAACTCAGACCCTTAGAGTACCAGTTGCATTTCAAGTGCTCATCAGTCATGCATGTCTGGGGCTCCCATACAATGCAACTCAGAATCAGAGAGCCTGCATAGGACAGAACGTTGCTGCAGGGCAGCCTCCACTAAAGGATGTTCTGCGGTTGCACCTTAAGTACCCTAGCAGGTGCTTATTGAATAAATGGATGAATGAATGATGTGTGGCCAGAGAATGAAGGAAGCACCCGCGTTGGTCAGTATGGTTCTTCCCGCCCAACGCTGCCTCCTGTGAGACCCTACCTTGGCCTCCGGGTCTGTGCGGAAGAGCCCCTCAAGCACTCGCAGGGCATCCAGGACCCCGTGGTCTGGGCCCTTGCAGTGGGACAGCAGGCGGCGCACATCAGCAAGGGCCACAAACTGCTTGGAGATCTGGTTGGTGATGCGGACTGGCAGGCAGGCATTGGCCAGCAAGTGGCCCGGGCGGAAGTGATAGGCGAACTCGCGTGGGCAGGCTGGGTGCGAGTGGGTCAGCTGGCACTCGGACACCATGAGTCGATCCCGCAAAGGGCTCAGCTTGATAGTGATGAAGGCTGGGCAGCTGGGCTGGGGAGGCCTGCAGAGGGAACCACCAGCGCCTCTGTCACAACCCTATGTGCAGTCTTAGTTCTGTTTGTTTTCTCTACCCCTCCCTCCCACCGTTCTCCTCCTCTCATTAGGTTTCAAGGCTAGAGAAGAGTGGAGAGCCTCAGGAATACAACAGCCGGGTGAATTTGTTAAGATTCTGTGTCTCATTTTCTCTGCATGGAAAAGGGAGTTAGTTGATAACAGACTTTCCACATAGGATCTTTGGGTGGATGAAAAAGAATTGGCATGCTTAAAACTCCCAAAAGACTCAACTAGCATCTACAACATCGTAAGCACTACACATTGGTGGAAAATCTTACACTTCCACACCCGGCTCTGTCCAGTGACTGGCCACATACCTTGTTATATTACCACCAGGAATTTTTGGTGGTGAGCCTAGCCTTTAACGGCTGAGCCATCTCTCCAGCCAGGAGATTTTTAGCAATAAAATAAATACTCAGGGGCTGGTAACCTGACTCACTGGGTAAAGGCACATGCCATCAGGCCTGATGACCTGAACTGGATCCTCAGAACTCACGTGATGGAAGGAGAGAACAGACTCCCGCAAATTGTTATCTGGCTACTATACACGTGGGCACACATAGGCACATGCAATGAGTAAATAAATGTAATAAGGTCATACGAAAACACCAGATTATCTTGTATCTGCTTCTGGTTTCACCATACGACCATACCAGACGAGGGCCCAATGAATTCTCCCATCTGTTCACAGAGGCAATCATTAGCTGCTGTTGCATATTTTGCATGGCTATGTTTTCAAAACCACAAGCAATGGATGGTATACTTTGCATATCCAGCTACTCTGCTCTTGCTAGAGGTAGCAATGTCACCAGAGTCCAGGAATTCCAGACTAGACTGGGCAGCACAGCCAGACCCCTTCTTAAATAAACCAGCAAATGAAAAAAGGTATTTGGGTGTTTTATACCAGTATTTTTTAATTAGTATTTTCATAATAATAGTATTTAAATTGACATCTTCCTGAAAGAAGATTCAGCAGTATTTCTCTATGGAGTAATATATCAGCATTTTTTTTTTTCCTGCCAGGTTTTACCTATAGAATAGTGGTTGGCAAAGATTTTCTGCCAAGGGTCAGATAGGAGATATATTTAAAATAGATGCATGCAAATATACACAAATCAACAGTATGGCTGTGTTTCAATAAAACTTTATAAAAAGGAGTTTCAGGTTGGGAGGAGGCCCAAAGCTTCTCAATTTAATGACTCTTGTAATATACACAGCCTGCTATATAATAAGGGTTTCATGGTTCCTTGGTAGTCCAGTAAATGTCAGTAGTGGATTCCCTCAAAATGACGTTCTATTGTCTCCAAATTGCTCCTGAGAAAGGTGTTTATCCTCAGGATCAACAGCATAAAGAAAAATTTCCCTGCTGAAACACTTCATTTCTCTTATATGCACACCCAGGAACAGCAGATTACAAAGAAAAAAATATAAATAATTTGAGATTTCCCCCTCATTTAAAATAATAATACATAAAGTTAGAAAAGTGATCTGTTTTGGTGTTTGTGACAGAGTCTTGCTGTGCAACCCAGTCTGGCCTTAAACTCACAATCTCCCTGCCTCAGTTCTGGGACCAGAAAATTCTTAAGTATATAAATTATAATAAATAGACAGAAACCCACACATTTAGGGCCCATAAGCAACATGCAGCCACATTCAATCTACCAAAAATGGCGCATCCCCAAGACTCCACCCTGTTCATTTTCTAAGGAGAGTTTGTTGTCATTTGTCGCTTTGACCCTGGGTGGCTTCTGCTCCTAGCTCAGGTCTTCACTCAGGGGATACCACCTCTTCTATAAAGGCATCCTTCTTGCCAGAAGACACATGTCCTTTGTGGGGTCCTGGCAACTCACATGACAAAGTATGGATGCCTAAATGTGCCATTCTTCTCTGCATATAG